TCTGCCCTTGTTGCTTGTTCAGTGAAACACTCTCATCGACTTTAACATTGTGGACTATTTGGTAAAGGACCCCTATTTGGTAAAGGCCCCTGCTGGGACCCCAGTGAGGGTGACCCCAGCACCCCCTTCAGGTGGGGGCTGTGATTGTAAGGTTAAAAAAAAATATAACAAGGAGTATGCATTACTCCAGTACATATGACTCTCTTTTTTTTGGTCGTTTCTGCCCTTGTTGCTTGTTCAGTGAAACACTCTCATCGACTTTAACATTGTGGACTATTTGGTAAAGGACCCCTATTTGGTAAAGGCCCCTGCTGGGACCCCAGTGAGGGTGACCCCAGCACCCCCTTCAGGTGGGGGCTGTGATTGTAAGGTTAAAAAAAAATATAACAAGGAGTATGCATTACTCCAGTACATATGACTCTCTTTTTTTTGGTCGTTTCTGCCCTTGTTGCTTGTTCAGTGAAACACTCTCATCGACTTTAACATTGTGGACTATTTGGTAAAGGACCCCTATTTGGTAAAGGCCCCTGCTGGGACCCCAGTGAGGGTGACCCCAGCACCCCCTTCAGGTGGGGGCTGTGATTGTAAGGTTAAAAAAAAATATAACAAGGAGTATGCATTACTCCAGTACATATGACTCTCTTTTTTTTGGTCGTTTCTGCCCTTGTTGCTTGTTCAGTGAAACACTCTCATCGACTTTAACATTGTGGACTATTTGGTAAAGGACCCCTATTTGGTAAAGGCCCCTGCTGGGACCCCAGTGAGGGTGACCCCAGCACCCCCTTCAGGTGGGGGCTGTGATTGTAAGGTTAAAAAAAAATATAACAAGGAGTATGCATTACTCCAGTACATATGACTCTCTTTTTTTTGGTCGTTTCTGCCCTTGTTGCTTGTTCAGTGAAACACTCTCATCGACTTTAACATTGTGGACTATTTGGTAAAGGACCCCTATTTGGTAAAGGCCCCTGCTGGGACCCCAGTGAGGGTGACCCCAGCACCCCCTTCAGGTGGGGGCTGTGATTGTAAGGTTAAAAAAAAATATAACAAGGAGTATGCATTACTCCAGTACATATGACTCTCTTTTTTTTGGTCGTTTCTGCCCTTGTTGCTTGTTCAGTGAAACACTCTCATCGACTTTAACATTGTGGACTATTTGGTAAAGGACCCCTATTTGGTAAAGGCCCCTGCTGGGACCCCAGTGAGGGTGACCCCAGCACCCCCTTCAGGTGGGGGCTGTGATTGTAAGGTTAAAAAAAAATATAACAAGGAGTATGCATTACTCCAGTACATATGACTCTCTTTTTTTTGGTCGTTTCTGCCCTTGTTGCTTGTTCAGTGAAACACTCTCATCGACTTTAACATTGTGGACTATTTGGTAAAGGACCCCTATTTGGTAAAGGCCCCTGCTGGGACCCCAGTGAGGGTGACCCCAGCACCCCCTTCAGGTGGGGGCTGTGATTGTAAGGTTAAAAAAAAATATAACAAGGAGTATGCATTACTCCAGTACATATGACTCTCTTTTTTTTGGTCGTTTCTGCCCTTGTTGCTTGTTCAGTGAAACACTCTCATCGACTTTAACATTGTGGACTATTTGGTAAAGGACCCCTATTTGGTAAAGGCCCCTGCTGGGACCCCAGTGAGGGTGACCCCAGCACCCCCTTCAGGTGGGGGCTGTGATTGTAAGGTTAAAAAAAAATATAACAAGGAGTATGCATTACTCCAGTACATATGACTCTCTTTTTTTTGGTCGTTTCTGCCCTTGTTGCTTGTTCAGTGAAACACTCTCATCGACTTTAACATTGTGGACTATTTGGTAAAGGACCCCTATTTGGTAAAGGCCCCTGCTGGGACCCCAGTGAGGGTGACCCCAGCACCCCCTTCAGGTGGGGGCTGTGATTGTAAGGTTAAAAAAAAATATAACAAGGAGTATGCATTACTCCAGTACATATGACTCTCTTTTTTTTGGTCGTTTCTGCCCTTGTTGCTTGTTCAGTGAAACACTCTCATCGACTTTAACATTGTGGACTATTTGGTAAAGGACCCCTATTTGGTAAAGGCCCCTGCTGGGACCCCAGTGAGGGTGACCCCAGCACCCCCTTCAGGTGGGGGCTGTGATTGTAAGGTTAAAAAAAAATATAACAAGGAGTATGCATTACTCCAGTACATATGACTCTCTTTTTTTTGGTCGTTTCTGCCCTTGTTGCTTGTTCAGTGAAACACTCTCATCGACTTTAACATTGTGGACTATTTGGTAAAGGACCCCTATTTGGTAAAGGCCCCTGCTGGGACCCCAGTGAGGGTGACCCCAGCACCCCCTTCAGGTGGGGGCTGTGATTGTAAGGTTAAAAAAAAATATAACAAGGAGTATGCATTACTCCAGTACATATGACTCTCTTTTTTTTGGTCGTTTCTGCCCTTGTTGCTTGTTCAGTGAAACACTCTCATCGACTTTAACATTGTGGACTATTTGGTAAAGGACCCCTATTTGGTAAAGGCCCCTGCTGGGACCCCAGTGAGGGTGACCCCAGCACCCCCTTCAGGTGGGGGCTGTGATTGTAAGGTTAAAAAAAAATATAACAAGGAGTATGCATTACTCCAGTACATATGACTCTCTTTTTTTTGGTCGTTTCTGCCCTTGTTGCTTGTTCAGTGAAACACTCTCATCGACTTTAACATTGTGGACTATTTGGTAAAGGACCCCTATTTGGTAAAGGCCCCTGCTGGGACCCCAGTGAGGGTGACCCCAGCACCCCCTTCAGGTGGGGGCTGTGATTGTAAGGTTAAAAAAAAATATAACAAGGAGTATGCATTACTCCAGTACATATGACTCTCTTTTTTTTGGTCGTTTCTGCCCTTGTTGCTTGTTCAGTGAAACACTCTCATCGACTTTAACATTGTGGACTATTTGGTAAAGGACCCCTATTTGGTAAAGGCCCCTGCTGGGACCCCAGTGAGGGTGACCCCAGCACCCCCTTCAGGTGGGGGCTGTGATTGTAAGGTTAAAAAAAAATATAACAAGGAGTATGCATTACTCCAGTACATATGACTCTCTTTTTTTTGGTCGTTTCTGCCCTTGTTGCTTGTTCAGTGAAACACTCTCATCGACTTTAACATTGTGGACTATTTGGTAAAGGACCCCTATTTGGTAAAGGCCCCTGCTGGGACCCCTCAAACCAAATCTGTGTTCGTCCCAAGCCTCTCTGTCTTCGTCTCTTGCCCTCGCTCCTCGCCTCTCTGTCTTCGTTGCCTCGCCTCTCCTGATCGATTCGCCCTCTTCGCCTGTTCAGCTTTGCTTCGTCTCAGAGGGGCTAGGGCACAACCAAACCAAAGGGGCATGTGTCATAAAAGGGAATTTCAAATTTTGGGGAAAAATTTAAAAAAAAAAGGTGAAAACGACGTCGTTTTCACCAAAACGACGCCGTTTCGAAAGGGCGACAGGGAGGGCGACAGGAAAGTGCTACCGAAGATCTGTATTCGTGAAGGACAACCGTCCACATCTTCGTTTTTGTCTTGGGAAATGGCAAGGACCTTCTTGGGAAGCCACTTTCTTGTATTATTTTTTTATTTTGCTTTGGAGAATGGATGAGCGTCTTCTTTGACATGGCTTGCAAAATCTTCTCTCGCGGTTCAACAATCGAATCGAACAATCACCGAATCTTGTCTCTCTATATCTCTCAGTAGCGTCTCTTTCTCTCTCTGGACGATGATGGTGGTGAGAAACCCTATCGGAGATGAGTTGCTTTTCTTTATTTTGTCTCTATGAATGTGTCTTGTTATTCACTTTCGTTCAGTTTCTTTACATAATCTGACTTCGTGTTGTAAGAATGGCTGCTTTAGTTTGGGATTTTCCATTTTTTATTTTCTTTTGCATTCGCACGTTTTTCGGCGGATAAGGGTTTGTGGGTTTGGCTTTGTTTTCTCTGGGTTTATCTTTTCTATTCTCAGTTGTCAGACAAGCTCTTGCTGGTTTCCTTATTTTGCTGGTTTATCACTATGTTTTTGTGCTTTATATGTATATTCCCGTAAATATTAATCATGAGTGAGGTTCAACCATTTTTTTTTTAAAAGAATAAATCAAAAAATCTTTGTGCATATATGTAAAAAAGCAAACACAAATGTGAAACCTTTGATAATTTTGTTTCTATCTTATTTACATATTATTATTCAAATTAATTATTGTCATACGATCGTATCCCCCTTCTAAATAATAGATTACTGCTTATATATCTATATATGCATGTGTATGCATCTATTTGCAACTGAAATGATTTGGATTTCATAATTTCTTCAACATGCATTGGTACCATTCTTATTCGTTGATTTTCTTTGGGGGTTTTAGAGTATTTTAAAATTTTCTCTCTTTCCTATCTAAGCTAATGTTTTGAAATTTTTACTGTACAATCCTGTATATATGTGAATTAAGATTAATGCAAATATTAATTTTTTCCTTATGTAGGCCTCTTGGTGTAAATCCCGCATATTCTCGTTCTTATTCAAGAAAGAACTTTAGCTTTTAGGGCATCTCACTGACCATTTCCTCAATTTTCTACTATCTTTTCTTTTCTACCATTGAAGTTCTTACTTTTCTTAGTAAACATTGATTTGATTTGATTTTTTTGTTCATGGATGTACGCTATTTTGTGAGAAATAGAATATGTGATATCAGTGTTCTAAAATTTTCATTACACACCGGCTGTAAATTAATAATGCAAGTTTAAGATTGTTTTCAATAGGAACCTGAATGCTTGTGTTGCCCAAGGAAATAAAAGATTCATATCCATGATTCCATCTGTGTTGAATCTTAATGCAAGTTGAAAATATGTAGTCATAACTGAGTGTAGGTCCACTAGCTTTTGATGAATATCATTCCTTGGATTCTACATTTCCCTTAATTGTGATGTTTTTTTGAATTTTTCTTATTAATGTTTTAAATTATTTTATCTTTGATTTATCATAAATTTTTTGAAATTATTATGATGTCTTGTTTCATTGAATTCCACTGTTTCATTGGAAAGAAATATCAGCACTTTTGCCTGTTCAATGGTATGCTTTGTGCCTGGGTTTATTTGCATCAATTATATCACCATAGCATTTATTTTTTGCAAGTGGCTTGAAGAGAGCTTTTCAAATTAAGGTGCATCTTGTTCACTATTTCTTTGCTCAAATTTATAAATTTGTATCAGCATCCAAATGAGATCCATAGTAAGTGTTCATTGGCTTTCTTCCTCAATTATTGCAGGATTTTGGTGATAGTATATTCCTGGACGTGGTGGGTTTACTGACAGAATGGGCTGTCAGGTTGGGTACTAAAATTTTCAGTTCTTGCAGACATTTATTCATACCAATTCATTTGTTGCCTCTAAATTATTCTTATTCTTAAGATATTATATTCTCCAATGTTGGATTTCTTCTTTGGCTGATTGTGAGTAGTATGTGCTAAAAGCTTTTATATATTGTTTCATTTTCACAATGCTGGTTATGTTGTTCCAGATTATTTTTATTTTTTAGCTCACACATCTGATTTGTTTTGTCTTTCTAAATGTTTGTGCTTTGCATAGAATAAAATAAATAACCATAGGGGGAAACAAAGGGTGAACAACTAAATTGGTATGGTTCAACTCAAAGAGTTAATTCAGATTGGCTGCTTATATAATAGCTCACTCTGAACATCATGCGAGGAAATTGTTTCATAGGTCTTTTTTAATTGTGTGTGGTTTTTTTTTTTTTTTTTCATCAGTGCTATTATTAGCATGATCAAGTTTCTTTTCTGAAGATAAGATTTCTTTGTCACTTCCATGCTATTCTGTTGGTATATTTTTGTTAAATCTAAATTTATTTCAACATGTGTCATATTGTAAATTGTTGAGGTGTATCAAGCATGCATTTTTAAGATAGCTGTTTGTACATTTATTTAATGTATTTCTCTTCTCATAATTGCTCATCTTCTACTTTTTTATTTTTTATTTTTTTAATGTTCCTATCAGTTTGTGTTTTTATTTTTAAGATTATAAGATTGATTGATTTTCTTTTAAAATTTATTATTATTTATAAATTGGGATGGCCCCCATTGAACGCCATGTCATTCCTCAACTTCCAAACTGACCACAGCATCACTAGTGGCACCATATTCCAAATTTTCCTCTCCTTCATCTTGAGCTTCACCCCATCCCACCATTCTAGCAAGGCTTCAATAGAACTAGGGACTACCCAACACACATCCCACCAGCTCACTAATGCAGACCAGACTCTCCTATACTACATGACAGAATCCTCCTTGTCCTCTGATAACTGGAACAATCTTGGAAATTCCTCACTGAGCAATCTATTATTGCACCACTTATCCGACCAAAATTTTGTTCTTTCCCCATTCCCAGTCCTTACTCTTGCATTTTCCAAGTAAAACTCTACCAGCAGTGGGTTATACTTAGCAATACTCAATATACCCTGCCTAATTGGAGACAGTCTTCTTTAATAACTCTGCCAGCAGTGGGTTATCCTTAGCAATACTCAATATATCCTTAGTAAAACTCTACCAAACCCCTTCTTTAATAGACTTCAATTCCAGTTGTTGAATTCAGCTATTGAAAATAAAGTGCACAAATCACATGGTGTCACACTTTTTGATCATATGAAAATTGGTGGAACTTTATTCTAAGAAACTTCATTTCAATCCATGTATTTTCTTATTGAGATGAAATTGGATGCACTCTTTACAAATTAATGATATCGATAATAAAACTTGTTTATGATAGGTGTCATTTTTGTGGGTTAAAATGGAATGGGATCTCAACTTGTATGGCTAAAAAATACACATTTTCTAAGTGATGAAATCACGTCCCCTTTCTTGTTATGGGCAAGAAGCATATGCCAAAGTTAAGAGATTGCTTTTAGAACAGTTTGAGAGACTGCTTTTAGAAGCATTCATGATGCATAATCAAGGTAGGGGAAATGTCATTTTGGTCCTCAGTCAGTTGTCTTTTTATTTATATGATTGGAAAGGAAAACTTCTTTGACGACCAAAGTGTGGATTATTCTAGCCATGATAATACACATGAGTAAAACCCATGATAAAACAACATAATCCTAATTCTCCACAATACTGAAGTCTCAGGAAATGAGTTTAACCTTCCAGTCCTCGGAAAAAAGAGAGTACCCGAAGTTATGAACATATGAATCTGTCAATCTGTAAATGATGGGGCTTGCGTGCATCCCTGTAAGAAGCACTGTTTGTGCACGTTTTTTTTTCTTTTTGTCAGAAAAAAAGTTACCTCACTCTTTTGCTCTCGTTTTTCGTACTGCAGTTGCTTGAAGCAGCCTGGTGTTTTACAAACATAGCGGCAGGAAAGCCAGAAGAAACTAAAGCTTTGTTGACTGCTTTACCATTGCTCATTGCTCATCTTGGAGGTTGATGATGGTTTCTGCATTTTCCATTCAATGTGAAAGAATGTAAATGGTTCTTTCTTTTTCTTATCAGAAAAAGTAAATGCTTTTTCTTTTTCTTCTTCTTTTTGTGTGTAGTATTTTTTTCTTTCTCCATTTCCTCTGGCTTTCTGAGACCTAAGAGTGACTGACAGTAATTAAAGATATCAGGTTAAGTACAATACATTGAAATTGGATTACGTAACCACAAGTATGTCCATTTTTGGATCATTGAACTGCCGTTTTTGTGGAATAGCACTATTATTGAGTTGGGTGAAGTAGTGACGGTTAGGGTGGAATAGCACTATTATTGAAGTCTCCAAAGTATGCATTGCTCATTGCTCATCTTGGATTATGTTGTTTTATCATGTACTCCTATAATATGAGGGAGTATGCATTGCTACAGTACATATGGCACTCTTTTTTTGGATCTTTTCTGCCCTTGTTGCTTGTTCAGTGAAACGCTCTCATCTGCTTTAACATTGTGGACCATTTTGTAAATTGCTACCAAAGTGAAAACTGTTTGTTTTTTGTTTTTTTTTCCTTATATATATATATATATATATATTTTAGTACCTTTTTTAACTGCTTGATTAACAAAGTGTGAACCACAACCGTCCACGTTGACCTTCTTGGGAAGCCAATTTCTTGTATTATTTTTTTATTTTGCTCTGGAGAATAGGTGAGCGGCTTCTTTGACATGGCTTGCAAAATCTTCTCTCACGGTTCAACAATCAAATCAAACAATCACCAAATCTTGTCTCTCTATATCCCTCAGTAGTCTCCTCTCTCTGGACGATGATGGTGGTGAGAAACCCTATTGGAGATGAGTTGCTTCTCTTTTTTTGTCTCTACGTGTCCTGTTATTCACTTTTGTTCAGTTTCTTTACATAATCTGACTTCGTGCTGGTTAGTTTGGGGTTTTCCATTTTTTATTTTTGTAACGCCCCCGAAATAATAACATTAAACCCAAGAAATTAAGTCATGCATTGATATATAAAGTTTCACATTCATTCATTCATGAGAGTTCGATTACATAAGTATTACATGTTAACAACAAAAGCAAAATGCCCTACGGGCTTACAGCTTTCCAAGTTAACACTTGGTTACAACAAAAAGAGTACAAACTCATACATCTTAAGCCCTTGGCTTGAATTTACATGTAATACATCCAAAAGTAAAACGACACCAGTGTGTCCGCCTCTAGCCTCCCAAGCTATGTCCTTGGAGGTGGCATGCTTCCTGTACCTGAAATGATATTCCCATAAAGGGTGAGCCACAGCCCAGTAGAAATATACTAAACCAACCATGAACAATGCCTAAAATATTAGCAATTGATAGATGGCCAACACCGATACATTCACATAAATTATACATTTATGCCATACGACTTATGAGTCCAGGTTATCATTCATTTTCCCTTATTCAACAGATAGGCATATAAGCACTACCCACATTCTCAACAGATATGCAAAACAACAATATCCACAGATAAGCATATAAGCTATATCCACACACTTCACAAAGATAAGCATATAAGCTCTATCTTCACTTCTCTAGACAAGCATATGAGCTGTATCTACGGAGTTCATCCCCTATCTTCTCCCAACACTATCCGGTTTAGAGGTACATCCCCTTGTCAATGGACAAAACATCAACAGCACACTGGAAGCCAGCTGTAAAACCGCTCCCATAAAACCTATTATCTGATTAGATTAGGAAATTCCAAGCAGCCAAACAGGGCAACCAATCAGCATTAATTTGAGTGCAAAATCAAAAATTTCCCCCAAACTCAAAAGAGTATATATACATACATTCTCTTAATTGGGCGCGCGCGCGAGCGAGCGAGCGAGAGCGAGAGCGAGAGAGAGAGAGAGCGATCGTCGGTTTCGGGTTTTGGTCCGCAGAGTGTCTTTCTCTCTGTTGTTTTCGAGCTTTGCTCTTCCAAATTCACACTCCAATCTCTTCCCAAGAAGCAACTGAGAGACAGTTTTGAAGCTTCCTTTCCTAGTCATCAATGGCGGACGAAACCCTGCCTCCTCATAGAAGGGACCCAATCAAGTCTTCAGGCACTCTCTCTCTCTCTCTCTCTCTCTCTCTCTCTCTCTCTACATATGGAAGCTTTGTTTTGTATTATTACTGACTAGTTTATCATAGTTTATGTTTTATTCACATTTTAATTTTTAGCCCTTTCAAAACAATTGATAAAGTAAATTTCAGACCTTTCTGCCCACTTCTCGTGAATGAGTTTTCGCAAAAAATTTATGAGATGATTATTGCATAATTTTATAAATCATACGGTTCGTGCTGTTTTGATTTTGATAGAAAATTGGGGAAAAAAATTTCATCCCACATAATTCAAACTGCAACTGGCTCAGTTGAATGGCTATTTTTCAAATTAATTTGGGGTCGGACGTAACCAGGAGCTTAAGGCTCGAAATTTATGTTTTTAATATTTTCAAGGCAAGCAAATGAACTTTAGTTTGAAATATAATTCCAACAATCTAACATAAGAGTGGATTAATTTTGATTGAACATTTGCGGCTACTTAGTTTATATTCTACTACTTTTGGTTGCGTGATTAAACGTGGATGTTCTCAACACATAACCCTGAGGGTCCACATAGCTTCAAAGAAGCAATATCCAACTTGTAACTCTTTATCTCATAATTTTTATTTGTATTTGAAATGCTGATTTGGTATCTTGCCTCCAGTTGGAAATGTTGCTGCAAATCGAAGACGACAACTTGCAGTAACAGTGGGAAAAGAAAGAAGGGAAGCACTGATGCGAACGAAGCGCCTGTGCAGGGTGGGAGTTAATGATGATGATGTCGTCCCCGTTGACAGTGATATGATGATTGATGAAGAGCAATCAGTTTTGGATGATCAGACCTTTACAGCTGTGGAAGAGCTGAAGCTTGCCATTGCATATCAGTAAGTTAGCTTATACATTTTTCTGTAGAGCACTAGAGAGATGTTTCATCATGTGAAACAAAGTCCTAAATCACTTGGTTCAAAAGTAATGTGCAAAATATAAGCATAAGGGCACCCTCACCTGAATTGATATTTTTTGGTGTTAATTTATATCCAAGACCGTGTAACATAGTATTTGAACTGGACTTGGAGTGCCTAGGGATGGGTAAGGTGCGTGTCCTAGGCTTGCATGTGGCAGGTGCTATTAAGTGAGTACATTGCTTGTGAGGGAGGATGTGACTTGGGTACGAAAGTAATGTGCAATATATAAGTGTGAGGGAATGTTACCTCAATAGCTAGCTTTTGGGGTTAAGTTCTACCAAGACCGTGTAATAGATCTATGCATAGAGGAAAACGGTTAAATATAGGATTTAGAGTAAACACGTCGTATATTGAAATCTATGTTTCATCTTGGTTGGATGCTACTTAAAACCTTCATGTGTATGTATGTGTTTTTATAAGTTATGCAGTTTCAGTTAAATAATACAATATATGGAGTTCTTTCTATATATTGATGCTTTCATTCAAGCATCTGCCAGATCCAAGCTTCATGTGTACGTTTTATGTTTTCCATTAGGTGGATGTTCAAATTAAATTATTAACTAGTTTGGCATGCTTTGAGAAATTACCACTTACTAGTTGTAGAAGCAAACATTGACATAGGGCATGGTGGTGGAAGCTCAACCACTAAAAAATACAGGAAATCCCAAAAACAATTTGCATTTAGTTAAACTCCAATATTGTAAAAACAAGGAGGAGTTTTTTATTTTGATATAGTTTGTGTAAATTTTTATTGGAACTTGGAAGCATTGTTCATAAGAACATATATATTTTCCTGTGATGAGAGAAGCCAGTTAGAATTGTTTCCCCGTAATTATTAGAGCGGTCTCTTGTTTTTTGGAAGCATGTTTTCAGGGAATTGGTTTTCGCAGGTTAAAGTGGAGTTTGCTAAATCTGTGAGCATTCTTGCATAATATCTAAGTTGCGCATTTATTGCCTCATTTTGGACCACACTTCTTTGTATCCGCCTGTTTGTGCATCACATATATTATTTCAACCACAAATTTTCACCTGTTGCTGACAACATTTGCCTTATTTTCCATAAGAAATGTTTTACACAACCTATATTGGGTAATTGTTAGGGGGAAAGGAGCAATGGCAAAAAGGGTGGCTGCCCTTCGTGAATTAAGGCGTTTGTTGTCAAGATCTGAATTCCCTCCTGTTGAAGCTGCCTTAAAAGCTGGAGCTGTACCTCTCCTTGTGCAGGGCCTTTCATTTGGTTCACCAGACGAACAGGTCCAAAAAATTAGTTACATTTCCTGCTATTTGTGATTTCAAGCTATCTGAATACTTCTTACCTGTACTAAATATTCTATCTTTGACAATTTCTGGGTTGCTGGTAATTATTATAAAAACATGGGTCATGGTAATTATTAGGTGCTCATCCTCTGTCAATTGGTCATTTGGTAGATATTGATGTAATGCTGCATTGTTGTCTGACAGTATTTTTTGTTTTTTCATTTCTTACTCTTTTGATAAGTTAAGGTATGACATTAGAAATTAACCAAAGGGGCACAACTCAAGTACACATACACATAAACCCCATCACAGAAACAACCAAATCCAAATTCTATAGAAGGGCAACCCAGTGCTGAGGCTCCTGCCACTACCAAGGTCTGGAGAGTTTAACCATCTGTACACCTCAGAAAAACGAGTGCCCAAAAACATGAATACATGAATCTGTCAGTCTGTAAGGGATGGGGGTTCCCATCATCTATGGCGATGCAAGTTTTCCATGCCCTTAAAAGTGATAGGTTCAAGTAAGCCAGTAAGCAGCACTGGTATAGAACTTTCTGATTTTATCTTTTTGTGTCCGGATTAAATTTTCTGATACTCTTTTATTTTATTTTATCCATAATTTTTGTGATCAGTAAAGTTACTAGAAAGTAACAAAGGGGGCAGAACACAAGCATTTGTGGCACACATGAGTAAACATAAAAAGCCATAAACCCATGATAAAACAACATAATCCTAATTCTCCACAGTACAAAAGTCTTAGGAAATGAGTTTAACCTTCCCGTCCTCAGAAAAAGAGAGTGCCCTAAGTTATGAACATATGAATCTGTCAATCTGTAAATGATGGAGCTGGCTTGCATCCCTGTAAGAAGCACTGCTAGTGTGTGTCTTTGTTTTTTTTTTTTTGGTCAGAAAAAAGTTACCTCTCTCTTTTGCTCTCTTGTTTGTCGTACTGCAGTTGCTTGAAGCAGCCTGGTGTCTTACAAACATAGCGGCAGGAAAGCCAGAAGAAACTAAAGCTTTGTTGACTGCTTTACCATTGCTCATTGCTCATCTTGGAGGTTGGTGATGGTTTCTGCATTTTCCATTCAATGTGAAAGAATGTAAATGTTTCTTTCTTTTACTTATCAGAAAAGTAAACGTTTTTTACTTTTTCTTCTTCTTTTTGTGTGTAGTATTTTTTTCTTTGTCCATTTCCTCTTCATAAATTAATACCGGAAAGTTGTTAAGGCTTTCTGAGACCTAAGAGTGACTGACAGTAATTAAAGATACCTGGTTAGATACTATACATTGAAATTGGATTACATAACCAAGTATGTCCATTTTTTGATCATTGAACTGCTGATTTTGTGGAATAGCACTATTATTGGGTTTGGCTACTTAGGTACAGAACCTCTGACCCAGATTGGCCACCTTGGCCTAGACATACGTTCTCAAGTTGGCTTTTGTTATGAGGGAGTATGCATTGCTACAGTACATATGGCACTCTTTTTTTTGGATCTTTTCTGCCCTTGTTGCTTGCTCAGTGAAACGCTCTCATCTGCTTTAACATTGTGGACCATTTTGTAAATTGCTACCAAAGTGAAAACTGTGTTTGTTTTTTGTTTTTTTGTTGATATATATATATATATATATTTTAGTACCTTTTTTAACTGCTTGATTAACAAAGTGTGAACCACAACCGTCCACGTTGACCTTCTTGGGAAGCCAATTTCTTGTATTATTTTTTTATTTTGCTCTGGAGAATAGGTGAGCGGCTTCTTTGACATGGCTTGCAAAATCTTCTCTCACGGTTCAACAATCAAATCAAACAATCACCGAATCTTGTCTCTCTATATCCCTCAGTAGTCTCCTCTCTCCTGTAACAAACATACCCAACACATCCCATAACTCAATATACAAAGGAAAGAGGATGCAAACAAGATAAATATCAACTACCAACATCCACGGACACATGCCCGGATCACTGTACAACAAGGGTAAACCCGGGATCGCTATAATTTTCTTTTGCATTCGCATTTTTTTCGCCGGATAAGGGTTTGTGGGTTTGACTTTGTTTTCTCTGGGTTTGTCTTTTCTGTTCTCAGTTGTCGGACAAGCTCTTGCTGGTTTTCCTTATTTTGCTGGTTTATCATTCTGTTTTTGTGCTTTATATGTATATTTCTGTAAATATTAATCATGAGTGAAGTTCAACCTTTTTATTTTTATTTTTAGAAGAATAAATCAAAAAATCGGTGTGCATATATTTAAAAAAGCAAACACAAAATGTGAAACCTTTAATAATTTTGTTTCTATCTTATTTACATTTTAATTTTCAAATTAATTATTGTCATACATTCATATCCACCATCTAGATAATAGATTACTGCACATATATCTATATATGCATGTGTATGTATCTAATAGGTACATCCATGAAGATAAGAGCATAGAATACTACTGCAAAAATAAATTTCTAGATTCGGTACCATTAAAGGATTAAAATTAAAAGAACCATTTCAGATTTTTCTCGAGCCTGGTCATCTTATAGTTCGTAGAAAATTTTATCTAGCTTCAAAATAATTTTCAAAAGTGAGATAGCTTTTCTAGATTTTTAGTTCTTCAAGAAATACTCTAGCGCTGTCCAGATTTGTTGATCGTTACACAAATTGGATTTTCTTTCAAACCGTTCACTCTTTTTCCATAAAACCAATTTTACTTGAAAGCTAACCCTTTAAGGAAGTTTTTGACATAAAAATTAGGTCAAGAAATTTTTTCTACATTTTTCTAGAATTTTCGCAAGTTGCCTGAAAAGCTGGTTCTTTGAGCACAAAGATTGAAATAATAGAAAAGGTAAGAAAAGAGGATAACCAAAGATAATTTTTCACTTGTTTTATAATAAAAACATGTTAAATAGTATATATTAAACTCAGAAATTCATATTGAAGGTGTTCCTTTAGAAACTATGAGAGATAGGTGTAGAAAAAGATAGTTTTGCATCGATTTAGAGAAAACACAGTAAGAGTGGAATAAGGCTCAATTCTTTTCAATTTTAAAACAAGAACACCATTACAACGCATCTGAAAATATTATTTTGAACCTCTAGTAACATATATTTGAAAAAATAAAATAAAGAAGAGAGTTGTATTGTGGCTTACTTGAAGTTAGGTGAAGTGCAATTGCCGACTAAAATTTAGTTGCTAAAAGAAAAATATATGCCGACTAAATTATTTTTAGTAGTTAAAGATTGTATATTTAGTGACCAAATTTTTGTTGCCCAAAACTCTATTTTCAACGACTAAAACTCAATTGGTTGGCAAAAGTAAAACAAATACCAACTAAATTACTTTAGTAGCTAAAGATTGTACATTTAGGGACCAAATATTTTTTTAGTCTTCAAAAACCCTATGTGCAATGACTAAAACTCAATTAGTCGCCAAAAGTTAAACAAATGCCGGCTAAATTATTTTTAGTAGCTAAAGATTGTACCTTTGCCTACCAATTTTTTTTAGTCACTAAAGCGTGCACCTTTGCCAACCAAATTTTTTTTAGTAGCTAAAGTGTATACTTTTGGCAACTAAATTTTTTATAGTCCGCATTTTTAGTTGCTGAAAGTGTATTTTCTCGTAGTATAAATGTGACATTATTGATGTGGTAGTCCAAACTAATGATGTAAAATTACACTTTTGATATGGTGACTCACATTTGTTTGGTAGTTAAGAGAAGGGTTATAAATGTGAGTTGTGATTTGTCGTTTGTCAAAAATATAGGTGAGCAATGTTACATGGTCTCTCTTCTCAAGGAAAGAAAAGAGTACTGGAAAGCCGATATTGCTTAATAGGTTGAAATTAATACTAAATGTTTGTGTTTCCCTCACATTTTTTGCTTGATTGTAATGCTTTTAGAACGAAGGTCTTGTTAACAAATGTCTAAGAAGTACAAGAAAAAAACAGGACAAGTGTAGAAATTAATACATTTTTCATTAGGTTCATAACACTTTTCATTTATTTTAAAATATTTTTTTAATTATTTTAATATTTTCAAGACACTTTATATACTAATCCTCACATCAAACAATGTATTTGCCTTAAAAACAAATGTAATAGTGTTGGTAGTAGTTAGTTTGGTGCTACAAAGTCCAATTGACTGGGCCTTCCCTATATGGGGAATGCCTACTTCCTCAAATTATGAAGGGGACTTGGGGGATTTTGAAATTGCTTTCCCAACCACAATCAGAAATACCATGGACCATGAAAAGATATTTCAAAATTTATCTTGAAATGAGTAATATAGTATAAATTAAAGTTCATGTGAAGTGAGCCTTATTTAGAATGATTGTGATTAATAAATATATTTTTCTGAATACTTTTTTGAGAATTCGTTCTTGAATTTGTAGTATTGCTAATATAGAATAATTTAAACTCTTGGCTTGAACTTCATGGGAATGGGGTTGCTGCTTTGAGGGCTTGTGGGAGTTTATCCTCAGTTTATTTTGATGATTTGAACAATTCATATTGCATCGTCGAGTATATTGTCCTTGCAAAAAATCAAGTTACTTGGACATTCGTAGCCCCATGATCAAGTCCTAATTGTTTTTAAAAAAATTATTAAAACCATATTAACGTTTTATTTTTTTTTTTTTTAAATGTGCATTTGTTGTAGGGCTACATATATCCAATTAACATGGTTTTGATTTTTTTTTTTTGGTATGAATAATTTATTCAACGAACCCTACAATATAAATAGTTTGGATTATCAAAATATGCTTGGGATAACTTCCATGAGCCCTCACAACAGGCTATTATGCTCAAAGGCACAACAGCATCCCTCTATTTGAACTTCATTGTGTTGTCCCATTGTCGTTACTAGAAGACCAAGACAGCTCATACCGTGTACCAAAAAAAAAAAAAAGAAAGACAGCTCAAGCTGATTGCTAAAATACATGTTTCATACGTATCTCATATATCTTGTATGTATGGTGCATCACTGTTATGTGTGGCATATCGTATGATAAAAAATGATGAAGTATGGTTACTAAGTATGAAGGTATTGATATACACTCTTAAAAGGACAAATTTTATGCACTTAAAATTTCAGTCACAATTTCATAATTTCCATTAATTTGGACTATGACAAAAGTAAATTGGTTTATATATATAAAATAAAAATAAAAATCACTAGTCACTTACAACCAAGCTCACTTTAATTCATAATAAAACATCACCAAATTTTATCACTAAGATTACTCTCTCTTTTTTTTTTTTCGATTCAAATCACTAAGATTACTTTGATTCATAACAAAATATCACAAAATCTCGTAACAAAACTAGTTTGTGTCATTAAATTTTTTTTTTTTTCTGACAAAAGTCTCATAACCAACCAGCATACCTTCATAATCAAATTCATCACAAATATAACGAAAGTCTCATAACTAAGCACTTGTAGTATTGAATTTTCCCAATAAGTAACTGTTGTTAATTTTTAAATTTTTTTATTTGAAGACTCTTCTAAATCTAGTTATACCATAAATTCAAACTAGTATGTTGAAATGCACTGATCAACTATATATGGTACCAACAATGAAATTGGCACTACCCTATTCGGTACAATATTAACAACATTGCAATAAGGGTAATTGTGGCTGGAATTCTTTTGGATTTATTTTTCTCTGTGGAAAACCAATTTCCGTTGTTAGCTCCAAGGAGCTGTGATCTGGTGTGGTTACAATTATTGCTTGATGGCTCCTCTTGTATATATCTTCATTACATTTTTGTATTAAAATTTTCACCTAACAATATCTACTAATAATTCTATGTGACAATTCATGGAGACTGCTTTTATTAATAGAATAAAACCGGGATCGCTATATTTCTCACTAGTATATCCAAGTGTATCGATTTCAAAAAGCAAAAAGCAGATTAACTATAAAACGATTGTATCAACATGTGAACTGACTCACGAAATTGAATCAATATGTACCTGAAAACTTGTGAGGCCGAGGGGTTGGTTGTGAAGTTGCAAGCTGCAGCAATAGGGGAGTTTGCACTATCTGAATCTCTCAATACATTTTCATCACTTGTACCTTTAATTGTATATTTTTAATGGCATTTTTACTTTGCTGATAAAAAAAA